GGTCTGACCTCGGAGAAGTTAGCTTGACGAAAAAGCTTAAAAGGGAACTCGGTCGTTCTTGAATTAAACTAGTGTAATTTAACGGACTGATAACTTTAACAAAACAAAAGAAAGAAAATAAAACAAGTAAAGTTGCTGGAACTGAGGGACAAATCGATGTCGCGGCACTTTCGCGTGTGTAGCTTCAAGCGAAACAAAGACTTTGTTGCGCTGGTTGAATTCTTAGGGCGTTGCCGGGAGGGGCAAGCCGGCGCGTGCCGAAGCGCCATTAAAGAGCCTGGAACAAACCGGGCAGACGAGGTTGGCAGAGAGCAGAGAGGAAGAGAGCGAGCACTTCTTCTTCTTCTTCGTTGTTTAACGGCGGTTGGCATCCAACATTATTGGTGCATTACCGCCACCTACTGTACTGGAGTGTGGGCCGGAGATAAATAAATAAATCATCAAAACAAAAACTGAAACAAACAAAAAATTTAACTTTTATCCTTTCTGCCAGTCTAGTTTCCTTTAAGAATCGAAATAACAGTGTACTCATATCATTTAATGACTTCCCCAGCACTTCCGTAAGTCAATTCCCTTGCCACAGATTCAATATTATCACAAAATTCACACCTACCTGATAGGTGCTTATCCATAATATGTAAGTACCTACTTAACCCACAGTGTCCTATTCTTAACCTAGTGAAGATGATTTCCTCCTTTCGTTTCCTTTCAGTGATCCTTTCTGTCCCAACCTTTTGTTGAATGTTATATAAATGCCTCCCTTTCTCCCCTGCATCCCAGTGTACCTGCCACTTTTTATTAATTTTTGACCTGATTAGTGCTTTGGCTTCTGCTTTACTTATTGAAATTGCTATTTCAACAGCTTCCCGTTTACTGGCTTGTTTTGCCAATCTATCTACAGTTTCATTACCCTTCACCCCCACATGTGCTGGAACCCATGTAACCTTTACCCTCTCCCCCATCTGACATATCTGTGAGTAAAGTTCCAGTACTTCATATACTATGTCCTGTCTTGCTTGTGACTTAAACGATTGCATACTCTTTAGAACTGCACTAGAGTCTGAGCATATGACAACTTTTGCTGGTGTAACTTCCTCTATCCACTGCAATGCCAACCAAACAGCCACCAACTCCATGGTGAATACTGATAAATTATCAGAGACTCTCTTCTGCATCTTTACTCCCATCTTTGGTACACTGAAAGCAGATCCAGCTTGTCCAGACTCAGGGTCTTTAGACCCATCAGTGAATATGACCAAATAGTCACTATACTTGTCATTCATCCTATCACAAAATATCTGGCATACATCCACCCCCGCTCTACTCCTTGAGTGGCTATTTAAAATCTCTAGGTCCACACTAGTCTGCAAAAGGAGCCAAGGTTGTCTGACTGGCAGCGGAACTGTTGGGCAAAATTCCTTTCCCTTAAGTCCCATCTCTTTCCCAATAGCATCTCCCACCCATCCAAAACTGTGATTTTTAACCCTTTCATGCTCCCACCATACCTGCATAACTGCGCTTGTGGGGTGAGACCTCCCCTGTCCTTGGAGGTTTGCCCAATAGTTGGCTTCCAGCTGTTCCCTTCTTAATTGCAGAGGCATCTCACCCATTTCTACCAGCATCGCCACTGCTGGTAATGTTCTCAGCGCTTGTGTTTGTACAACATCCAACTTGGCCAATGTGGTCCTAGCTGCATCTCTGTATGCTATGCAACCATAATCTCTTACTGATTTAATCAGTGCATCATATATCCCCTTCAGTGCTTTCCTACTCGCCCCCAGTCCACTCCTGCCAAACACCTCATCACATTTAATACCTTTTTACATTTAACTATAACTTTCTCAATGTGGGTTTCCCGGGGTACTGTCTTTCTAAACTTTTAATATGTCTATAAAAAGAAAAGAGAATCTATTTGCGATTATTATAATCAAATAATTTCCCACAATCAAACCTCAATGGTGAAACGGTTGTACCCGTTCTAAGTTTGAGCAACAGTTGTCAGTAATTAGACCTTAAAAGGTTAGCATTTCAGAATGATGGCATATAATACTTATTTCATCCACTTGGGGGAGCTCAGGTTACATGACGACAGCTTAGATTAATCCAAAAACAATCTTTCCTTAGGAACTGGGAAATTTAGTTATTTAGCCTTAAATTCAAGCTGGCAATTAATAGCATGTAGCATGCCATTTATCATCATTTCTAAAGGAATCTAATGTTTTGGTCTTAATGTTTTTGTTACTGAGATGCTCTATTACTTCTATTGATGACGTCATGGCCCATAGCTCTCCATCTTAGTTAATTGAACAGTTTTTGACTGAGACAGAATGGTAACTTTTGTGTTTTATAGTAAAATTTTAAAATGGATTCACCAGTTTCTGAAGATTTTCATGACAGACAGATGGTCTTTATCTTAGTAGTGGTAAATCTGAAAATCATATGTGCAACCACAGAGGCTGGATAAAGTAATGTGAAAATAGCAACATTTGCAAACTATTAACAAATCAAAAACTCTTTGCAGCAGGATCTGAGCACAAACAAGAGAAAATCCATGTTCAGTCTTCAATAAATAGCAACTTATTCTAATTTTTAAGTAATTCATGTTCATCTCTCCTCCAGATGCTCCAAAGCTTCCCTCTGTGTCAGTGAGTCCCTCTGCTGAGATAGTGGAGGGCAGTTCAGTGACTCTGACCTGCAGCAGTGATGCTAACCCAGCAGCTAATTATACCTGGTACAAGGAGAACCAAACTCTGATTCAGGGACCAGGAGACATTTATCATTTCACCTCTATCAGCTCTAAGGACAGCGGGATCTACCACTGCAAGGCTGAGAATGAGTACGGCCAGATCAACTCCACATCTGTATCCATAGATGTCCAGTGTAAGTACAAAACATCAGCAAAGCTTCCACATACAATGTGTTTAATTACAGAAGTGGATGTAAAGGTCTGGTAAAAACAATATCATGTTCTAAAGTAGCATCACAGGGGGTTTAAAGGATAATTTCAGATTTCTTGATTCTAACTTAATACTAAAGCCTACTCACATGCCATTTGTACGTTAAATTTGTTTTTGGTCACTAATCATTCCTCCTGGTGAAGAAGAGATACCTTCGTAGAGCAACATGCATTCCAAAAGTTCAGTTGCAGCTTATTATAGAGCTGGACTAGACCATACTCTTTGTGATACAATTTACAGAGACCCAACAATTCCCACCATGAGCAAGCACTTGGCGACACATCTCCTAGGATTTGTGTTCTACCACAAAAAAAAATCACAGAGTAACATGGACAGTGCTGAGGTCACAATTAGATCTACATGTCCTGATAGTCTGTAGGTTTCTTCCTAAGACCCAGCAATGGCAATAAACCTAACTACCAGGACAAAGATACCGACTCAGTAAGCCTGACTGATACTATTGAGAACTCATTTTAGCTTTGGCTAAACATTTTGCACAGAATGAGGATAGTAGATTTTGACCCTTATTTCTCACAGTTTAGTTGTGCCAATCGCTCCATGGTGTGGAGAGGAAGAGTGACTGCAGGGACCAATGACTCTTTCAACGTGCATATGGCAATCAAAGTATTATATTTAATATAATAATATATAATGTGGTTGGGATGCAGCTACATGCATGCTCTCAAGCCTCTCTCCGACTGCAGCTAACAGCATGCAGTGCACTAACACCATAAAACGACAATCCCCCCGCAAAACACAAACTCCAACATAAACTTCACCTAAGGATAAAAAAAACAATAATCATGTTTTATGTGCTGCCACACCAAACGAGAATCAGATCGACTTCGGGTTAAACAGAAAGTCTTGAATCACAGAGAGACCTCCACTTTGTTTTGAAACTGACAAAACCAACACAGAGTTGGTTTTCATTCAACTGGACAGGTAATCTAACATTACTGCAAAGCATGGTGAAATATATTGTAATGTTGTGCATTAGTTGGCTGAAGTTAGATAACATTAATTCAGCTTAGCTTAGATTTATTGTCATTTTACCAATACTCTGGTACATAGCTTTCCCTCCTCCCTCCGCTTTTCCACCTCTCAGTCGCTGTAACTTATGTGACCCACATAATATACAATAATGCAACATAACGGGACAGGACAACAACACAGTGGAAGACCCTTTCACTACAGTAACGTTACTTACTGCGGTCTAACTGTTATAAAGTGCAGCAACAAATCTCATTATAATATTCAGTCCAGCTCACTAACCGTTTCATTATCATCCAATACATTTAGCTGTGTTGACACTGGTGAAGAGACACAAATAGTACAAATGTTAGTTACTGAAAAGCAGCAGGCCAGCTAACGCCGACGATGTCACGTCACCTAAATGCAGTCAATGTAACATTATAATGTAACAAGCATGGATTAGTTCAACCTCAGGCTGATAAAAATATTACTGTAACGTTGCAGTGGGATTTACCTGAGTTTCCACCATGTTGTGTGAAGCTGTCACCCTGTCTGTTTATAGCCGCTGTCACACTGCTTTGCACCAATATGCCGGCTTGCTGCGCTGTCTGATGTCACTGTATGCGCTGGTAGTTAACAGAGCCACAGCTGGCATGCCGGTGTTTCCACCTTTATTGTAATTGTTTGTGTTTCGTGTTTTGCTCGCTCATGAGCTGGAGCACACGTATGAGCATACACCTGGTTACAAATAGTGGCCGCTGAAAACTACAGCTTATCAAGTGAAGCATTAGTAGATAAGGTATCAGATTAATAACAACTCCTGATGCATGATGTGTTATTAACGTTCCTCTCTATATATTCTATACATGTTCTTCTCCAGATGCTCCAAAGCTTCCCTCTGTGTCAGTGAGTCCCTCTGCTGAGATAGTGGAGGGCAGTTCAGTGACTCTGACCTGCAGCAGTGATGCTAACCCAGCAGCTAATTATACCTGGTACAGGAGAATGAAGACTCACCAAAAGCATCAGGACAGAACTTCACCATCACTGACATCAGAGCTGAACACAGTGGGAATTATTACTGTGAAGCCCAGAACAGAAGAGGACGTCATAACTCCACCTTACATCTGACTGTTGTGGCAGGTAAATTATTAACTTTCATACACACCCGTTCACACACCTGTCCTGCAGGCTCTATCATCAGGTGATCTACTTCGCCACAAGGTTAACAGCTGTGCTCAAGAGTCCAAGACATATGGCCAAAGATTTGATATTTGACTACAAAGTCAATCATTAATTGATCATTATTCTTTAACCTGGGGGACATAAATTCCTTTATTCTCCGCTCCAGCAAAATAATCAGACACACAATAAGATATTGTCCAAGCATGAAGGACCACTAATATATTGGCACAGGGCTTTTACACTGCCTTTGTTTTGTACTGTTTCCCAGGTTCAATGAAATCAGCAGCTGCTGGATCAATCACTGCCATTATTCTGGCTCTCATATTGCTCTGTGGCTTCCTATTAATTAGGTGAGCAGTTCATTTTTCAGGTTTTTAGGTGATCATATTCAGTAATGCACCTAAGATTCACTCAGTTGTTCAGTAATGTCATGTAATGATTTGTTTTTTGTTCATTTATTCTCCTCTCCAGTAGAAAGATGTCCTCAAAACAAACCACAGAGCCTGGAGAGAGACCAGACAACACAGCACAGGTGAGGAAGAATTCAGATAGTACTCTCACCTTAAAACTAAATTGAATCATGCTTCTTCTTTCATCCTGTTCATTCCTGTGTGATAACCCTGTAGCGATATGTCTGTGTCACACCCTTGTTTTCCTTTACCCAGTCATAAATGATAAAGTGACAGGACCAATGTTTTCGTCAACCCAACAACTATCCACCTACACATTCATGTTAGCTTTTTGTAAACAAAGGGGAATTTGGCATTCACTGATTTTATGACCTCTACTGGTAAGAATTACAACAACAAAAACCAAAGTGACCTTTTGGCTTTGATAATGAGGTTTGTGGTTCCACAAGACAAATGTTGACCTCAGAAATGTGTAGCGCCTGATGATGTATTTGTAAAGTCACTGAAATTGCAGAACAACCCCCTCACCTTAAACTTGCAGATGTTTTATTAAATGGTCATGGTGTTGCAGGGCAATAAATATCATACTTAACCACTTACCTATGAAGATAAGTACTAAAGTACTCTCTCTATTCAATTGTTGCTTTTAAGCTAAACATGGGTTCAGTGTGCAACAATTCTTCAGCTGAAGTACAGAGTAAACCAGCATTGGAGATGGACGACCTTTGCTACGCCAGCGTAAGCTTCTCTGAAAAGCAGGAGGATGCTCTCTACTCCAACATCAGGCCAGCTCAGCGCAACAGACGCAAGAAAGAAGATGGGGAGGATGAAGATGGTGTGGAGTACAGTGCTGTCAACTTTAATGTGTGAGTGTTTCAGCAGTGTGAGTCCATGAGAATTTGATTTATTATTGCTCTTAGTTAAAATTCTGAGTTTTTTGTAGTTCACATTTCTCTAATTATGTTTTGTCATTCACAGAGTAAGACGTCAAGAGGCTGGGGAGGATTCATCTGCACTGTACAGCACAATCACCGACATACCAAGAGTATGATCACAACATGGATCTGTGGTCCGTTACTTGTGTTACAGTGTTCAAGCAGAATTCCACAGTGAAGTTATAATACATTACACGGTAGATTAAAGGCAACTGTCAAAAATCTAATGTATAAACAACAAACAAACTTAGTTTCTCTTACAACCAACAAGTTATCAAAAAAGTCTGTTCGGGGCAGTGCAATTAATCAAACAGCAAAATTAAAGAAATCTATACATCCAGCAGACAAAATAAAAGTCTTAAAGTCTTAAATAAATTAGTAATCTGGTAAATACAACAGTTTAAACTCTAGGATACAATACCACAGTTGCTGGTTCTGATTGGATGCCTTAAACCTGTTCAACAATTTAACTCTTGTTCTAAATCAGTGTTTAAGGTGCCGTATGTTAAGCTGCTGGTGACAGTAATTTTATTAACAGTTATCTCTCATTTTAACTAAATAAAATTTTTTAATAGCCTGTAAGGTTTGAGTTGATATACTATATTAACTTTATTGTTACAGCATCCAGCCAAGTACTCGTATCAGTTGCTAACAGTCTGTAATTTATAATTTCTTATACAGAATTTACTTGACATTTTTTTCCAAGGAGCAATATTTTACTGTTGGTGCAAGCAAACTATTTCCTACATATTATCAAGTACATAAGGTTATATACAGTATACCTTTATAACTTTAACAAAGTCTTTCTCTGCTCTACAGTTTATTCACCTTTTATTTTTTTTGTCAAATATTTCAAATATTCTTCTGCTCATATTAACATTTTTAAATTTCTGGTGCTTACCATCACAACAAAATGAGTTATTGTCATGGACTGACATCTCTTTTCTCTGCCACCTCCTCGAATAACAGATTTTATGAATATGTGTGGTTGATCAGCATACTTGACAACTTCCAGACATCATAGACTAAATCCGTGGACCAAATCTAGCGGGGTATCTGGATTTACTGAGTCATTTTTTAATTGAAATACAAGAGCGTGGTTGCTTTAACACATTGGGTCTGAGGGTCCCCCACCTGAACAGACTAAAAACTTCATTTCCTGCAATTGGTGAAGTCTGCACCAATTTCTGCCTTTTCAGCATCACTGTATGATGGAAAAGGCTTTCATTATGCAAAGGAAACAAAAATTCAGGCAGCAGGTGACAATTCAAAAGTTTAAAATATAAGGCACACTGTAATACTTTATATTGTCCTACAGATCAATGTAATATCATCCCTGCTCAGTCAACAGACATCTGTACTGTATCTGGACTGTACTGGATGAGACAAGGAGGTGGAAACTAACTGAAAACACTTCTGATCAGGTATAAGTCCACACAAATGTTAACTTCAGCACCTCCAAAAAACTGCAGCTCACAGCCAGTTCAGTTGGAAGCATTAGGAACATAGTCCTTCTTACCTTCATGTGTCCATACCTCCTTAACTGTTGCATGTTAAGATTGTAATTAAAAAATTAAATTTTACCACTCTCACAACTCACTGACAGACTCAAACTTCCCGGATCAAACTCATTAGCAAAATGTTTTTAAAGAGGTGGTATTATGCTCATTTTCAGGTTCAAAATCTTAATTAGGGGTTGTACCAGAACAGGTTTACATGGTTTAATTTTCAAAAAACACCATATTTTTCTCATACTGCACATTGCTGCAGCTCCTCTTTTCACCCTGTGTGTTGTACGCTCCGCTCTTGAGCTACAGAGTGATGCATCTTACTTGTACAAAATCTTTGTTGGGAGTTGCACATGCGCAGTTCCCAGGTAAGGACTACTAGCCAATCAGAAGCAGAGAAGGGCGGGTTGTAAGAAACAAAGTAGTGTGATCCAAATCAAAGCAGATGGTATAAGTTACTCACAAGTCCACAACCACACAACATCATTGTTCCACATCTTACCATCAGGACTAAATGTTGAACTGTTGCCGGTGTTCTGACGATCTATGCTGCCTTGCCGAAAAATAATACCATAGCGCAAATCGATAGACTCGGCCCTGCTCCGTTTTCCATTGCAGACAGTACCCAGAGATAGTACGTAGCTTGTCGTATAGTGACGCCACACACAACGGCCGTGACGTAATATTCAATGCGACACACACACCAGTGATCCACACAGCTTTCTCTTTAAGTTAAAACGTTTCAACATTCCTCAGAATGTAAAGACAGATAAGCGGTATGAAAACCTTCCAGCTGTGTTTTGCTCTGCCGTTGTTGCTGCAGCGATCTGTGTGACGGCGGGAGCAGAGGGCTCTGTGAGCGGGCGGCTGGCCGGCCTCACACGCTCCTCCCGCGGGTCACAGCAGGCTTCCCCCGCAGCCACTTGCGGAGCTCCTCAACTCCGAAAATATTCAAGCACATTTTTGTTCCGCCATCACTTCTCATAAAACTGTCAATATTCGAAATCTACACAGCTGATTTCACCTCAAAACTTCTCAGAAGTGGATTTAGTGATGAAATTCCTCACGAAAACTATAAAATATAAAACTTTCTGTTGCTGGCCTCTGTCTGGTGCAGCAACGATGATGCAGTGAATAGTGAATATTCCCTCTGACCAATCAGCAGTCTGTCTGTTTTCACATTACATTTTGTATCCCTCAGCTCGCTTGGAACCTGGAAGCAGGTACAACATTTCTACAATGGAAAACAAAGGCGAGTCGAGCCAAAGGGCCTCCGCTCAGACTAGCTTGGTTTGAGGGCGTGCCTGACCCCGCTAGCCGCTTGGCAAGCTTTATGACGCGTTTTCATTGTGACGTCACAAGTGGAAGTGAAGGGCTGGACTACAAACGAGCTGTTTTCAAGCGGCTCAGAGCAGAGCTTTCTGTGGGAGATGGGAACTCCCTTTGGGCTTTTTCACTTTGCAAACCTGTTACATGCAAAAAAAAGATATAAATCAATAAAGGAGAGGGGAAAAGCCAAAAAGCACAATACCACCTCTTTAAAACACAAACAAAGCTTCTTTCCTATCGTACTATAGGAGACAACAAGCTACTTTTCACCAAAATAAGTCTTCCTCCAAGCTGCACAAATAACATTGGTCTCTATGAGCAGCTGGCTGTGAGATGCAGGGACCATCTAAAATGTGCAACGCCGAAAAGGCTACTACAGAAGAATTAGTAGTAAGACACCGGAAGCAAACTATTTTTGGAATATTTGCAGCTGAAATCGTCAATCCGACAAAACTTATATTATTATATAAGTTTTATAAGCATTATAGTCACTAACTTGGATCTCCTTTCTTCAGCTTTAGAGTTAATTAACATTCCTTCCTCAAAAAAACTTGTCTCCAAAATATATAAAATAATGTCACAATCAGACAAAACTATATTCATACATAAATAACTATCGCTTAGAAAACCATCCTTATAATCTGGAAGTCAAGGAACACCATACATTAAACACACTGAAAAACTTACTTGTAGATTACATCTCTGTGGAAAACATCACAACAGATTAATACTCTGCCTGTTCATCTTTCATTCATTTCATACAATCTTGATTCCATTGTTTTTTTGTTTTTGTTATTTGCCTGATTACCGATCATAACAAACACAATTGCATCTGTATCAATATATTCAATACATTATCAACAATTCCACATACACATACATACCATTTGTATAATTTTTATAATATAAAAAACATTTTCTGTATTTATTTGTTGTCATTTTTTGCCCTATGTTATTATATAGTATATAGTGTATAGTATCATCAGCCGGATTTCAAACTACGATGAGACTTCATTTCGGGGGGGATGTTGATAATCTTTATTCTTAATCTTAATTCATAATTTCTCAGTTTGTACCTCCTTCTCTACACCTCTCGGCGCGTATTAGTCCCTTACACCCGAGAGAGAGGAGTCGAGGAGGCACCAAATAGAGCAATGAGAAGAACCCGTGGATGCAAGTAAGAGACTTGAGCACAGCTTGCCTCTCTTAACACTATAACAAAAAGGGTCACACAAATAACAAGGTTAACCCCCAACCCACTTTCACTTTTAGTTTCTCAGTTTACGCAATAGACTCTTCATTATATTGTATCGACAGGGGCTGTAAATAAATTGGACCTGGGTGAAGTATAAAGCTTAAAAAAAGAGTGATTAAAACATGTTGTGATTTTCCACCCCTCTAGAGGCAATACCAGACCCCAAAATGACCACAATCATTTCAATAAACTATATTTTAAGAAGTTCATGCATCATCAACTATATAAGAATCATTTCTTCATTTCTACTTGGGGATTTACAGGCTTTTGTCTGTCCCTGCATATTAATGATGTAAAGAGGAAGGAAGTCAGGGCAATTTTTATACTTCAGTGTCTGTTTATTACAACTGTAGAGACAAACTGTCTTCAAAGACAGCACCCTCCCTTTTTGAAATGTTTATTGTGACTAACTGACATACAGGATTTCTCTTGTACCTGATTTATCTGCTGATGTGATTTAACAGACGTGAGGAGCAGCTATGAGTTTACCAGCAGGATTTGTTGTCCTTCTTCTCTCTGTACAAGGTACTGTACATTTATAATGTGAGGCTGTTAGCACACAAAATCAGAGGAAAGCAGGTATTTAGTAAATAAAAAGATCTGATGCGATCCCTGAAACACCAGACTTTTAATTCTCTTTCTTTAAATAGAAGTCTTTACAAGATGACCAACAGAGAGCTGTTTTTTCTGTACACCAGCAGCATCTCTGTATTTATCTTACCATGACAATGTAAACTTTATAAATTGTATTGTTCACCATTAAAAACAGTAAAATATATTTGTGTGGATAGAAGTAATAACTTTACAAGTCCTATAAATAATTTGTTATATAAAAATTGCTCTGTGGAACTTCCTACATTGTTCTGCTGTCCTCCAGACTCAACTTTAGCCAGCGTTTGTATGCATAAGAGTAAATTTAGAAGCTGTTAGCTCTGTAATAGCATAATTAATACAGGAAATAACATGAAAATAACATGAGTCAGTATCGTCTTTCATGTCACAAGAAAGGCGGATAACAAAACTTAAAGTTGCACTAATAGCAATGGGTCAATTAACTGTATAATGTAAAAGATACTTAGAATAATTATCACCTGAATCTGCAGTTCCCCTCAGCTCCACAGAACAGTCTCGTCAGCCTTGTTTCCAGCAGCAGCAGACAGCTGATTTCAGTAAAAGTCTCTAAAAACCCACTGTACACTACCTGCCAGCTCTAACTGTCATTCACATTTACTGACTAGCTGGTGACTAATGAAGCCTCCAGCTGCAAAGGATATGTCCCTGCTACTTATCCACCTGCAAACACTACAACAATAAAACAACAGTAAAATGAAGGGAGCGTTAAATTAAATCATATTCCAGATATTACTGAATATGTCAGATTCACTGCCAGACGCTGCAAATTCAGATTTCTTGGTTTGAGAAGATAAAATTCAAATGAAATGAAGTTCACACAGATTGATCTTGTGTGTTTGTGTTGACTTAAAAATGTACCTAATATGTCTATATCCTGAACACGGCTAATATATATATAGATATTTTTGTTATCTACATATCGCAGTAGTTTCTCACACCTCAATGTTCTGCATTTCTCTAGATTTTCCATTTACACTCTGAGGAGGAAAGCAACAGAGCAAAGCAGACGCTATTTTAATGCATCACACCCCTCTAATATTTCATGTTTTTTTATCCTGTTCAGTAAGTACACAGTTTAAATACACGGCTGTTCCTCCACTGCCCCCTCTTTATGATGTGCCTGTCACATGTACATCTTTGACTTTGCGTTATATATTCTCATGTAAAACTGAATGATTTGTAGACTTCTCAATAGCTCTGTTCACTTTGGCATAAACCAGAAGTAATTTGAAAGTTTTTTTTCCCATTTTCCCATTTTTAAAACAAACATTCCCCAACAAATAAGTTAAAACATAAGAAAACGTGTGATACTCAATAAATCTTACATTCAGTTCTAGTTAGAATAATAATCTAAGTACAGTCTTGTTCAAACTGACATCCTCTTGCAGTGTGGAAATTTTAACACTTCTGACATACAGTATATATTTACGCTCTGCCATACTAGTGTTGTAGTACGCGAGACCACTTTTTGATGGTCTTGGTCTCATCTCGGACTCGACCGCATTTGTACTCGGTCTTATCTCGGTCTCAGACATTGAGGACTCAGGATTTTATTTCAAGACCAGTCAAGACTATAACTTTGGGAATATCAATAAATTGCTTTTGCATTGTCTGATTTATTTGTTAAGAACCTAACTTTGATTGGATGCAAAACGTATTGCTTCAAATGCAACCAATCACCCTAATCAAAACTGTGTTGTTCCTGTTAGCAACTGTCACACCTCCCCGCGATGGGTAAGCATGGAAAAGGAGTATTGAATAAAGATGCTTACGCTGATTTCAGCTCTTTCAGTGTTTGTATGTGGGGGTTTTAAAGGGAATGTGGGTCTTTCAGATCAACTTTAGAAGTACCTGTGATCTCGTTCTACATTTTATTGTGTGTCATGTAATGTGGGGAACTGGTCTTGGTCTGGACTTGGTCTCAGCCCCTAAAAGTCTTGGTCTTGTCTCGGTCTCGATAAACTCTGGTCTGTGTCTTGATTTGGTTTCGGTTTGGGCGGTCTTGACTACAACACTAT